AAAAGTATTTGGAATGAAGCTTGGAGCGGTTATGTTTCTTCTTGGAAGTAAGCACTTTTCAATATGATAAGTTAATTTTTTTAAACGTATATTTAAAGGAACTAATTTGTGGTTCGAGAGTACCGCATGATGACTGATGAGGGCGAAGCCAGAAGCTGTTATCGCGCGATAAATGTTAAGAGCGTAAAATCGAATTGTTCTGGTTTAAAATCTACCAAACGTTCAATCTCATTAGCAAGACAGGCTCATTGAAGTTGAAATTGAATAATGATCTAAACCGCAGTTCCGACGCACGGATAATTGACACTTGCACCTTCGTACTTTTACCTTTGTGTACTCCTTTGTGTTTTTTTCAAGGATCATTGAAATCTTCATTCGCTCGAACCTGAAACGAAAAGTCTTCTGTTAACAGGGTATTTTACAAGTGCCTGATAGCTCGATTTATTTAATTTGTCTTTCTAATACATAGCTTCCGCTAATTTTTGTTCTCAAATTCCTTATTTCTTAAAGCTCGGAAAATCTCGTAAATGTTAAGCAAAGCAGAGGAAACAAGTTTTGTACGACGTCAGCCATGCGCTGAACTCTTAGGGATCGTTGGGGACTGATCACGAACAGTTTTTCGCATAAATATGGATTTCTTCGTAGAAAGTGCGACGTACAGATTTTTACTCACGATTTGGAAAACTTGAGAAAGCGAGCGAATTGTTTAGTTCAGTAAACTACACAGAGCCTTTTTGCGCATCAACGGACTACTTTTTGTCATATTTTTTTTTTACTCGTTCTGATTTGGATGAAACGTCGTGCTTTATCAGAGTACAGATGCTTGGAGTAACTTTGCCATGCCATCAAACGATCTGTGCAATGGCCGAATATTTCCCGGACTTCTCTCTCGTTTTTTTTTTCTTTTTTCTATTGACCTACAAGTCTTGCATGACCTAGAAGGCGAATATGAAAACGACCTCCTGGCTTCAATTGATCCAGAACAACCCGTGTAAGCAACAGAACAAATCACATGGAGATAGAAAGTGAAGTTTCGGAACCAAGGTATTGATAAAAACACCGAGTCAGTTAAAAGCAACGGGAGAAATAAACAACTGCTTGTGGCTATGCCAAACGTCGAAATTGACGAAATTTATAACTTGAGCAGTGACGAAAAACACCAAAGAGAAAACGCCGGAAGTAGACTGTTCGACTTTTTGAGGGTTTTCTCGTTTTAAGAGTGTCTCAAGCTCAATTACGATAATAGAGTTGAAACACTGTTAACACTCATATAATAAATATTTAACAGTTTTTTCTTCAAAAAAAATCAAACAGGAATGATGTGACTTGTGAAACTATTTCAACTATTTTAGTTTGTGAGCTATTTCAGTTTATGAACTATTTCAGTTTGTGAGCTATTTCAGTTTGTGATCTTTGATGTTTTCACATTTTGACTGCTTTAGTCTTATCCAATCAAATTATTTGAAAATATCGAAAAAAGGTTCGATTGGTCTGTTTTGGCGAGCTTTATGAGAGTACAGCAGCATGCTAACGCCACCTTTGTTCGTTTAGAAGCCAAAGTTCGTTTTGAAAATTTTTACGAACGCCTGGCGAATTTATTGTTTTCTTCATCACAAAACCAATGAAAAATTGAAAGCCTGTTTCATGACAAAGAGGATGATTCTAACACCCCTAACAAAGATACTTTGGAAACACTACAGATTTGAAAGTGTAAATGGACTCCCCCAGAGGGCTAATTCGCATCTTTAGATTTTTTCATCAAAAAATGTCGCCACGATTTTAATAAACTTAAATTCAATCGTAACACCAAATTTTCTAACCTTTCTTCGAAAGAATGGTCGGCCCTAAAAAGTCCAGAAAAACGCAGACATAGTTATTAAAGCGGCCGACAAATGAGGCGCAGTCGTTGTTTGGCGGGCCGATCTCTACCAAAGAGAAGCTTTGCGACAACTTTCTTATACCTCTTTTGCAAAAGTTGACAAAGATCTCCATCCCATCAAGCATAGCTAAACAAGAATTGCCGGCCATTGCAAAAACCCTCATCATCACCACTCCTAAAACTTTTTGTATTTACTTTTTACTAAAATCCACAAACCTAACAACCTTGGTCGACCCATCGTCTTTGCCTGCAGTTGTCCTGCCGAACTCATTTCAAGCTATTTAGACAAAATTATAGCACCTATCGTCAAATCTTAACCATCATACATGAAGGACAGCCACCACGCACTTGAAATTATTTGTGACTTTAATTTCCTCGGCCAAAATAAACTTATTTTCACTTTGGATGCTACATATCTTTATACTGTCATTCCCAATGACGAAGGTGTCTGGGCCCTCAAACATTTTTCCGATCAACGCACTGTTAGGGAACTTAGCTCTGAAACACTACTCCGTTTAGCCAAACTAGCACTTACATTCAGTTGCTTCTCATTCCGTAGCAACTACTATAATCAAACTAATGGCGTAGCCGTGGGTACTAAAATGGGACTCATCTACGCCAATCTTTTCGTAGGATTTATCATGAACACCAATTTTTTGGTCAAACTGCGGCCCCAGCCTGATGTTAAGACACTGGCACATGCACATGCCCAACCACGACCGCTACATTGACGACTGCATCGGGACCACCGCCTCTGTCAGAGAGGAGCTCACTCAATTTATAACTGCCGTCAATTACTTTCACCCGGCTCTGAAATATACCTCTGAAATTTACGACACTTCTTTGAATTTTCTAGACATAAAAATTTCAATTTTAGACAACGGTCTATGCACTACAGATTCACATATTTGTTACTTGTTATATTCATCTTTACATCCATCACACGAAAAGAAGTCCATACCTTTTTCACAGTTCAGTCAGACTTCGTCGTTTATGTAGTGACGACTCTGATTCTTCCGGAAAATCAGAGACAATCTACCAGTTTTTCGATGAACGCGACTAACCTGTTTCTTTCCACAACCGCGCCCAACAAATTGATCGACAGTAAGCACTACGGCTCCGAAGGAAAATACTGATCGCATTCCTCTCACATTTCACCCTCAGAACCACGCAATTATCAGTCTTAAATCTATCCTTCCGTCAATAACTTTAACATTGTGATTCTAAATTAGGCATGTGCCTGTGTCTTAACATTACGCTAATGCTCATGCTTATGTTTCTGCGTCTGTTAAAAGTATTGTACAATTGATTGACATCGTTCTTTGGCTAAGAGATGATCATTTCAATAAAGACAAAATGAGTTTTTGCGTTTATTTTTATTATTCCATGTCAAGTTTGCTGATACAGTGCAGTCCAATACGTGGAATAATATTTTCTAATCGATTGAAAGACCAAGTTTGTATGGTAAAACTTGACCACCCATTCAGCTTTAATCTGAGTGCCCCTGTCACAGAGAAGTTTATAGAGAAGGCACAATAATTACTGGCTGATGATGTCGAGTATTCATGCACATAATAGGTCTTTCAAAAGTTAATTCAGAAACAATTTTTCGTGGCTTTTCTTTCAGGTGTTGTGGTGCTTCTTGCGAAAGCAGCAAATGTTAATGGTAAGTGTTAGTGCATCAACTTACGCAATTCTCGTCTTTGGCTTAAGTCAAAATTTCTCTGTGAACTTTACCTAAGAAATGATAATCAAGTAAGGAGAGATTGAAAGAGATGATATGAGTTGTCATATTTATAAATCTCGGACCAGTGAATCGCCGGGCAGTCGACATAAAACTATTACAAGCAATCGAATTGAATCAGTATTTTGTATGCTGTTCTAGTAAAGACACCGACAAGACAAAATTCCCAGGCTTGTTCTTTTGAAAAACGTGATGATTGTTCAAATTTTGTTAGGGTATATTTGCGTGAGTCAACAACTCGATCCTCGGATGGAGATTGGAAGAACTCGCCGGGTAAACTATGGAAAGATTCAACACACGATCGACTCAGCGTTTGCATTTGTTCCCGTATCTTAGAAACAGAGACATATTTTTAGTTTACGGGCAGACTAGTTTTAAGCATTAACATCCGCACTAACAAGTGAGCGTTAGGAGACCACTCTTGAAAGTAACTGTCATATTTTACCTAACAATGATCGGGAGAGCATGAGGAAAGTTAACTATAGAAAGCACATGGCCGACTTGTTTGTGTGCATTTTTTTTTGTTTCATCGGTTATTTACTTGGCGAGAAAACAACAGTAACTGTGGCTTTCAATTCTTTCGTCAAAATCAGACGCATCATTAAGGACTGGATCAGGGTTTCTACTGAGCTCTTAAAAAAAAGCTCATTCTGTTTTTGTGTAAAGGAAAATCACTTTTTTTTCAACGGTCAGACTGATGCAAAGCTTAAGCTGCCTTTTCTTCGTCAATCCCCTATGCGCATTTCCTTAATGGTTTCACTCGGACGATGCCCTCATTTTTCAGTTTAGGAAGGTCATGAGCGGTGCGACCATG